ACAGGAAGCCCACAGTGGAAGCAGGCTCACCTGCTCCCACAGCCCCTGGCCCTGAGCCCCAGGCGGCCCTGAGCAGGCAGGCCCCAGAGGAAGGAGGCGGTGAGCGTCCACATTCCTCAGCTCCAAGCTCGGGAGCCCGGCCATGGATGGGGCCTGGGTGCGCGGGGACCGGGGCCAGCCAGGCCTGCACCTGGCCGTGCAGGACGGGCAATGGCCTGGAGGCTGCCACACCATGGCCACGGGGGACAGCGGGTCAGCAATGCTGGGAGGCTCAGCTCCGCCCTCCCCCACCAGCTAGGGCTACATCTCCCTCCTCCTCCATATGTGGAGGGGGTCCTGCTCCTCCCTGTCCCCAACTTGGCCACGGGATGGGCAGGAGACAGCCCTCACCCACACCTGGGCCCGCTTGCAGGCCCCCCTCCATCCCCACCCCCTGGCCTGGGGTTGATTCTCAGCCCCAAGACACAGGACGGCCCCTCCTCTCCAGGTCCTGCTCTCAGCCCAGCCCTGGGCTCTGGGGGGAGGGGGGGTGCTTGGGCCCGCCTGGCGGGGTGTGATGCGGGGTATGGGGACCGAGGGCGGGGCTGGCCGCCGGTACTTGAATGGACATGCGTATTTATTGCCCTCGCGTTTCTGCCATTGTCCGAGGGCCCTTCCCAGACCAAGGGTACGTTCGTTTTTCTGTTTTTCCGGAGAAATAAAGTCGGCCAAGCGAATGCTGTCCATGTGGGTTTTAGGGGGCGGGGGGTAAGCTAGCCTGCGGGCAGAGGCTCCCAAGTGCCCGCCCACCTGGGGTGCTCTGCTCCACCCCCACCCTCACCCCTCGGCCTTGCCCCTGCGAGGGGCAGTCGCTGTCCTAACTGGACTCACACTCCAGGATGCGCTTGCCTTTCGGGTCTCAAGTCCCCACCCAGGACCAGAGGGGCCACCTAGAGCACGGGGGGTGCAGTGGGCCTGTGACATCACCGCCCCCCCAGACCCTGATGGACGCAGCTGAGAGAGCAGCCTGGGGCGATGCCCCACAGATATGGACACCCCAAAATGGCAGCCGTCATAAGGCGCTGTCCCCAGGAGGGTCTGGGCACCGGGTGGGGGCAGGGGAGGCCCCACTCTCCTCACTCCCCAAGACCCACTGCTCCATCCACACCCCACACTGACCACAGGGGCCGGGACCCCGCAGAGGGGCGAGGTTGGCTCGGCAGGGACAGCAGGCAGGAGCACACGGGGTGGCATCGCTCCTGAGACGGAGCAGGGCCCCCCCACAACAGTCCTCACTCCCCAGGAACCCTGGGGCCCGAACGCTCTGCAAATAACACCGGGTGCTGTGTCCCTTCTCGGCAGCTAACGGCTCTGACAGCCCTGCAGGGAGTCGTGTGATGCTGTCTGACCCTCCTGCATGTCCCAGACACATGACCCCTAATTTGACCTTTTGGAGAGGGCCCTGGACTGGGGCTGAGGGAGGAAAGGTAATCGGGGGGCGGGGAACGGGAAGCAGAGAAGCCCGGCTGGGAAGGGCAGAGGCCTGGCGATGGCCACTGTTTGAAAGGGGGGTGTTACTGTCGCTCCGTGTGGCGAGGCCAGTAGACCAGGCGACGGTGCCACTGAAAGAGGCATTTGATCCTGTGGCAGGAACCAGAGGAGGGGCCACGGGCCACACGGGAAGGTTGCAGGTGGGCCAGAGGCAGGGGAGGGGACATGCACAGGGCCTGGCAGGCCAGGACTGGCCGGTGCAAACAACCGGCGGCTCCCGGCGGGGGCTGCCCTGAGCGTCTGGTGCCTGCCTGGTGCGCTCACAGGCATCTGTCATCTCTCTTGGGGGGGACGGGGGGACGGGGGACAGTCCCTCCAGGGTCAGCAGGGCTTACAGGTCAAAGCATCAGAATGTAAAAATGACACGGTCAACACACACATCCAAACCACAGGCCTCGGTTTCCCCAGCCATGAAGGGAGGGTCCTGGGGGGCCCTACTAGGTCCAGCCAGCTTCCCAGGCCTCCCCAAATCCAGTCCCAACGCGGGGGGCAGTGAGGCAGCCAGGCCAAGGCCCGGCCCCCGCTCCTGCGTCCCAGGGC